AACCAGAAGTTAAAATGAATTAAAATCATGTTTAATACAATATACAATGGATAAAATAGTAATTAAAAACAGGATTAAAAAAATAATTAAAACAATAAAATGATAAAATGATGGCGGTCCAAAGGGCCTGGTCCTCTCGCCCGGCAGATGGACAAAGGGCAGCACTCCCACGGCATCAGGGGGGGGTTCCGCGCGTGCAGCCGCTGGCGTTGTACCTGCAACAGAGAGGCAGAGGGCCAGCTCTCCCGCTCACACCCACCAGGAAGCCCAGGCCTGAGGCCGCTTGATGCAGCAGGAGCTAGAGCGGTTGAGCGGTACTCACGGACAGGGAGAGCTCCCCGCTCTCCCGCTGCATCCTCTGACTTGTTCGCTGGTGGTGCTCGCTGCCTCCAGTCCCTCGCCTATCTTCCCGGCCCGAACGCTGCGCCGCCTCACTCCCCTCCTACGGGGCGCCCGGGTCCAGCGGCGAGCTCCATGCCCTGTTGCACAGCACACACACGGGCCAGCCACGCACAGCACCCAGGATCCCCCCTTCAGCCCAAGGCTTCCATAAACCACGTCTACACAAGAGCAAAACTCATCGGCAGGGCAGGGTCCAAATGCCCTGCCTCTGTGTAGTTCTCGTCGTGGTGCGGGGGTCCAGAGCGTGGGTGCCATGGTGCTGGCCCGGTGCGCGCTGGTCTCTCCTTCCGGGCTTGCCTCCCCTCGTGCGCGTTCGCTCCCAAGTGTCGCGTCTGATCTCCCCCTCTTCTCTCTCCTTGCATGGCCTCTTTATACAGCCACCCCAGACACAGGTGTCCTGATTTGCAATCAGGTGCAGGCAGGTGTGCCGGGTAACCACGACGACTGGGAGGCATGAAAGAAAACACACAGCAAACAAAACACATGCCATCCCAGTCCACCGGATTATATTAGCATTGGCTAATTCTTATTCCGGGTCCAACCCCATCGGCCCGGGGTGGTATTGCAAGCATGTCAGCGCACGTCATTTTGGACACTTTTGAGCCGGGACCCGCCCCCACTGCTTCTGTGTGAGGAGGAGGAGACAGAGGTGTGAACAGAGGAGGAGGAGGAGCAGCAGCATCAGCGAGACAGTGTGAGCGCTGCTATCGCCAATGTTTAGTACGAATGTACACATCCAAAAACATATTATAAAAGCATTAGCAAAGAGCGTATGCCCAGCTTTAGTACTGCAGTGGATTTTGGAGATAAAACGCCATAGTTGTGGTTAGAGTGTGTGGAGGCGATGGCAAAAACGTTATTTGATGGGGAAAAAATACAACAAATATTGACTCCACCTCACAGTCATTTTGGCGCATTTTGCCATAATCTAACTATCAGAAGACAAAGACTCCTTTTGGCTCAATCTTCTGAGTTGATGCCATTTTGTCACAGGACGAAAGAGCCATGTCGGAGACCGCGACCAACAGTGTGTGTCTGTGGTGTGCGTGCGTGCGTGTTGGAGTGCGCGCTGCATTGGAGCGAGGACACGCGGCTACGCGCGTGCTGTTTCTCATCACGCACCGCACGAGGCGGTGCTGAATTCACGTAAAATATTATAACTAGGAAAACTTTCCTTAGATTTGGGAAACTCGGGACTTGAAGGCAAAGACTTGAGACTAACTTGTGACTTGTAAAACAATGACTTCCCTGTTTAAAAACAGCAAGTGTGTGTGGGAAGACATCATGATGATAAGCCACATTACTGGAATTTCCAGAAGCCAATGACCTTTACGTGTGCCCACCCACTTCCTCGTTTCTGCATAGTTTTTTGAAAGAATATATGCCACACTAACACAAACGCTGTACAAATAGAATATGGATATAAATATAAACATACAAACATGACACAATTACTTCACTTATGTTTCATGTTTAACAAATAAAGCCATATTTTTTTTTAGAAAAAAGACCTACTTGCAAAACATAGTAAACTTTGTAGAAACATTCACAGAATATGACTAAGATAAGATAAACCTTGATTAGTCTCACAGTGGAGAAATGTCAGTGTCATCGTTGCACATTACAGCAGAGAAAGGAAATAAGAGCACTCAGATTGCACACATCAAAGTCTATTATTTAAGATAATAGACAATAATTTAAGATAAAATAAAATGAGATAAACTCTGGGCTATAATTGCACTTGGTTCGGAGTAATTACAGATTATACATCTGTTTATACATTAGCAGCGGAGAATATGAGCAGAATAAATATAGACTAGAAATCGTGAGCCTCAAAGTTAAAAGTCTTAATGACCAATTGTGATGGCTTCACAACCCGCTACGCTGTATTAGGCATTTTCTTTATTTTACTTCCACAAATTACTTATCTGACTTTGCTGAAAGTTATGTGTTGCAACAGAGCTAATGCATTGGAACAAAAAATCATACAATTGGTTTATTTTTAGACCTGAAGAAAGCGTTTGACACAATTGACCACTCTATTTTATTTGGTAAACTTGAGAAGTATGGTGTCAGAGGTATCTCGTTGGATTGGGTAAAGAGTTATTTAAGTAAAAGGAGTCAATATGTTAAACTGGGTAATGTTTGCTCATCGTGGATGGAAATTAAGTGTGGAGTCCGTCAGGGTTCAGTATTGGGCCCAAAATTTTGTATTCTTTATATAAATGATTTATGCAAGGGGTCAAAGGTCGCAAAATTAGTTTTGTTTGCCGATGACACTAATGTGTAAGAAGGCGGGGTTATGACAGCAGGCCTGAAACTGAATCCCAGAGAGCAGTGGACGGATGTAAGTTATTTTGTAATGGAGATTGTCCGAGCAGTGAACTATGAAAGCCATGACAGTAGATACAGATGGAGGTAATGGAGAAATGTTGTGAGCGTGGCAGAAGAGGGAGTAGGCTCTCCAAGCGGAGCTGTATGTAGACAGGGTAGAGGTAGAGAGGCCCATTTTCATGTAGGATGAAGCGGAGGAGAGGAGGTGAGAGAGGGAAGGTGAGACTAGTCCAGGATTAGTTGATCCATGGTAAGGATTGCGCGTGGCTCCGAACTGGCCGAGGGGCAGAGGCGCCGGAAGTCCTGAAATTTAAAACGAGAAAGACAGTCAGCAATCTGATTAAGGTGACCAGGAAAGTGGCGTGCGGTGATAATAAAATTGTTTAAAACGGAGAGCCATGTGATGCGTCTGAGAAAGGACATGATTTTGGGAAAAGAAGAGCGACCTTTGTTTCATGCTTCCACTACGTCGAGATTATCACACATGACAGAGATCCTCTTTCTCTGCCACGTGTTACTCCACAGCGCGCAGGCCCCGACCACTGGGAATATCTCGTGTAGAAGCGGAGATCGTTGGAGGACCGGACGATGCCGTCACAAAGAACGAAACGCCGTTCCAGCGGTCCAGCAGGCGAGACCAGAAGTCCAGGTCAGAGCGGCACCCGTCGTCCAGGGTGACCGCGTCGTGCAGGGAGGGGACCGAACCCGCAAGGGTGAGAAGACGTGAAATGAAAGAGCGGCCCTGGGGAACGATGCGGATGGCATAATTGAGGTGCCCGAGCAGGGAGAGCAGCTCGCGCTTTGTGATGGAGGGAGAGGACAGTGCAGACTGCGACACGGAGTGCATGCACTGGAGCTTCTCCAACGGGAGGGAGGCGTCCATAGCGCGCGTGTCGAGGCGGATACCGAGAAACTCCAGGGCAGTGGCTGGGCCCACAGTCTTCTCCTCTTCTGCGGAGCGAGTCTCCGGAGCCGTCTGCGGGTGGATCGACGAGGAGAAAATCATCCAGGAGATGGAGGACAGAGCCGGACATGGTTTAGTAGAATCCAACACAAGGCCTCCAAGAGATTGTTAAATAAGGAGGGATTGCTCCTGCAGCCGAACGTGAGGCGCGCAGCAAAATAAAAACTGGAGCGCCACTTGACCCCAAACAGGTGCCAGTAATCGGGGTGAATGGGCAGCAGCTTGAAGGCGTCCGTAATGTCCGCCTTCGACAGCCAGGAACCAGGGCCGAAAGCCATCACCAGCCGGATTGCGTGGTCCACGGTGGCGTACTGCAGGGAGAAGGGCTCAAGAGGGATGAGACTATTAATACTCGGAGTGGGCCCGGAGCGGGGGTGGGACAAATCAAAAATAAGACGCTTCTTCCTGGAATATTTGCGTGTGGCAACGCCCAGCGGGCTGGAGCAAAACGGGGAGAAGGGGGACCTGGAGAAGGGGCCGATGACGTAGCCCTTGGACACCTCCCGTGCGAGGAGCTGCGTGACCATGAGGGGCTCGCGGAGAGCAGACTGCAGGTTGCGGGACACGTAGGACACCGAGGGGAGAGTCGCCACACCGACATAGAAACCCCGGGCCAGGCAATTAGCAGGAAATTAACAAAAGTCAGGTCAGGATGGAGCGCGAGCGCGCGGGCACGGAGACTGGGGTTGAGAGGTGGGCCGTGATCAGGGCACACGGAACGGGGATGGGCCTCCCTGTACAGACCACAGACGTGGAGGTAAGCGCAGGATGGATAACGGCACACACTTATGTTGAACATGCGGCACACGGGGGTTTGATCAGATACCTCCTCCTTGGGGACCGGAGACGCGCGGGGCCGATAAGCCTGACCAACGACGGGATCGTTGGTCAGATGAGACAGCCGACAGGATGGCGTCCGTGCGCGCGCAGAGGAGGGCACGATCCTGGGCCGCGAAAACTGCAGCGGAAGGATCCGGCTGGGGAGGAGGCGGGCCGGGAACCGCCGGGGCCGCCTGGGGAACGTCGACAAGGCAAGGCACCGGGGCGGGCTCGGGGCAGGCCGACGAAGCAGGGGGGAGCAGGGGCCCGTCGAGTGTAGAGGAAGGGGGGCAGGCGCGCGTCGGCTGCAAGTGCCTGGCCTTGCGAGGGCGCTTGCGAGGGCGCTTGCGAGGAGGGGAGTCCGGAGCCCGGAAGGTGGAGGCGGAATCCGCAGACAGCTGCTCGACGAGGCGCTGGAGCTGCAGCGGGGTTGCGTCCGGACCAGGCACGACGCCACGGACGGTACGTGGAAGGTACGGACGGACCCGGCGTCTTGGGACGCCAGACGCGCGCTCTTCCGCGACCGGGCGGGTACAGGCGAGGGAGGAACAAACAAGTCGTTCAGGAAGCGAGGCGTCGAGCCCGAAGCAGACGGGGACGCACAAGCACGGGGCGAAGACTGCATGGTGAACGGGATGCGTTTTAGCGAACATACACGATGCCGACTTGAGAAGGCCGGGAAGTGGGCGTCTCCGGCTTTTAACTCGCTGGCCTGGTTGTTATTGGTTGACTGGAAGTGGGTGTTGCTGTGCGATGAGCCGAGGATGAGAGCAGGCCTGGAGGAGCTGGGCAGCAGCAGGCCGGGTCTACCAGGGTGAACTTGCGCAAAGCTTCATTACAAGTGCTATTTAAGGCAAAAACAATGTGTTACCTCGGAATGTTCAAAAATGTTTTTGTTGCATAAAAAGTGTTATGACACAAGGAATACGATGGAATTTAAATTCATAAGAGTGCGGAAAAGAAGGAAAGGGTTCTGTATTTCAGTTTGTGGAACAAGATTGTGGAACAGTCTTGATATTAAGTTAAAAGTATGTCATAATATTTCAATTAAAAAACCAGTATAAAGAGTTAATCTGTCAGAAATATCAGAGTTACAGGGGCCCGTGTGTGTGTTGGCGTGCAAGTTATACACAACCATTGATGTTTTCATTTTACTTTTGTCTTTGTTCTCAAGTTTTAATTGTAAATGATAATTTTTGATAATTTAGCGACTCAGAAATTTGAAATAAGGGGTGGGATTAAATAAGTGTTTATTAATTCTTCCCACTCCCTTTCGTACATGAAACAAGACAAGGGAACAACAACAAGACAATGTATTATTTGTATTTTTATTATTACTATTATTTTATATACGTATACTTCTATGTTCGACTGAACATTATTACCATTTGTTTTGGTGCTTTTGTTGTGTACTTATATCCTGTATACTATTTGTCTGAGTATCTTGTTTTGGTTAAGTCTTGAAACTTGGCATGTACAAAATGAAAATAAATGAAATGAAAATGAAAATGAAATGAAAATGTGAACAATCCTTTTACTCCTTGCAATATTGTGGCTTAAACCAAAAGATGACATTTTGACAAAACCCTGCCCTAAAACTCTACAGCAAAATCATTATGGATGTTGGATGTTTTACCTCCACTTTCTATTGTATATTTGAGTAAACTGCGCGTTCATGCATAAGAATGAACGGATTCATTTATGAACCATAAACAGCAGTTGTTGTATGAAGCACAATGAGTGTTCACAAAGGTTTGTTTGTTTGATTTAGTTTTGGTTATTGGTACCTTAATTAATCCTACAAATACATAAGTGCTGAGTAATGTATCGGTTAATG